TGCCACCAACTGAGGCCAAGTAGGCAGCAGCAGCATCAGCCTCGGCAGCCCTCAGCCCAAGCCCGCCCTGCGCTGGCTCGCCTGCATCCACTGGCCATAGCAGGCGCGAACTTGCCGATCGAACTCCTGGAATGCTGGCAACTGAGGCTCGGGCGGTGCACTCCGCATACTGTGCACAATGCGACAATGCCCCGCGCAGGAGCGCAGTAAACGGAGACCAACCTGGGGGTCTTCCAGTTCCCCGATCGCGTCCAACAAGGCCTTAGTCTGGTCCACACGAGCCTTGCTGTGGACCTGAGTGGAGGCAGAGTCACCGATTGGGGCCCCAAGCAATTCAAAATGTTGAAGGACCTTGCTGCTGCCTTCCGGGGTTCGCAGGAGTGCGTCCGGAAGATGGCCAACCAAGTCTGCCGCAGAGACATTGCCAACTGCCACAACCTCACACTTGCGCAAGTTCAGCTGCAAACCCAGCTCCGCGGCACGGCGCTGGGTGTGGGCCAAAGCAGCCCCCACGGCTGGTATGTCGCCCGCCAGCACCCCATCGTCGAGGAAGAAGAGGCCCAGGTCCAGGCCACCGCGCAGCTCCACAGTGAGAGGTTGTATGGCCGCCGCAAAAAGCAACGGCCCAAGCGGATCGCCCTGTTGGACCCCAGAGGCGGAAGGAATGACCGTCTCGCCAAACCTGAGGTTGGTGGGTCTGCCATAAGCCCAGGCCACAAAACGAGCCAAGCCAGGGAAGTGGACCCGAGTGGCGTTCACCACATTCTGCCGCCTCACACTGTTGAAGGCGTTAGCAAAGTCGAGCTTGATCAAGACCTTCCGTGAGCCAGAATGCCGGTCAATCCAGGCCCGGACGGTGTGGAGCCACTTCCACTCCGCCAGGCACCGCTACACCAAGCTGAGTAGGGAAGAAGTGCTCCCGAGCGGCATGAGGCATTTGCCTGTCAGGCGCCGAAGGATTTCGCCTATGGCGATGGGCCTCACGCCGCCTTATAGGTTTGGGCACCGCGACCAGGCCGGCCCCAGCCAAGACGCGGCAGCCTCAGAACAAGCCTGCCCCTGCGCCAGGAGGCTGACTACAGCTGCAAGTTGTTCCAGAAAGCTGTCCGCAGCACCAGGAGCGCAGGCTTCATGGAGGTGCTGAACTCTAAGGCCTGAAGGCCCCGGGGCCGAGGCTGGGAAGCTTCGAAGGGCCCTCGCCACGATGTCCGGCACAATCTCCGGGGTTGGGGGCAACTCATGAATGGCCGGCAGGTCAGGGTCAGCGTGGTGAGGGTGGAGCGCTTGCAGCGCAGCAGTGGTTTCGTGGTTTTCGGCAGCCAGGCCAGTAGCAAGCAGAGCAGCGCAGGCCTTGCCGTCAAAGCCTTCACGTGCCAGGTTGGTGGCCATCTCCTTGCGCTCAGCTGTGGTAGGCGGGCGTCTAAGCCCACGTTGCAGCTGCCGCCTGGTGTGCCAAAGCTGAATCCGCTCTCCATCCTCCCAGCGCTTAAGTCTAGGCCGCAGCCGCCTTAGCATGCTTTTTCCCTCCTCGAGCAGGAGGGTCCAGAACACACTGCGGCAGCATGTAGAGCTCGCGCCAGGAGCGCTCATCATTGTAATGAACTACGGCAGCAAAGGCCCGTGTCAGCGCACGGGCCCAAAGCCAGCGTGCACGCCCCGGCACATGTCGCAGGGTGGGGGTGCGACCTGCCTGAATCTCGTCAAAGGTAGGCAGTGGGAGGGCATCCCCTTCGCGCACGCCGCCAGGATCGGCCACAGCCTCGCGAGCATCGGGGCGGCAGGAAGGGTGCACCCCATGCTGCATATAGAGACACTGAGTCCACAAACGGCGCAGCGCTGGCGGCCCCGTGCCTGGAGCCATTGGGCAGGGACTTCTCCGCACAACGCACCTGACAAGTGCGCATCAATGTGTGGTCGCATGGTGGCATCACTAGCCCAGCCCCTGGCGCGGCGGGGGTCCCCGCAAGGACAAGCAGGCACAGGGCAGTAGACTCTCCCAGCATTGCCACCACTGTCGACGTCCATCGAGGGCCTCTCCTCCAAAGGCCTGCGCCCATAGGGCCTCTCACCTCCAACAGGTGTTCCTGGGGCAGGAGGCCCCGGATTAGCAGCCTCACCAATGCGCGGCCGCCGGTTCTCCAGCTGCGGCCGAGACCAGGGTCCCAGGCACTCCACAGGGTCCCAGGCAGTGGCCTCACGAGTACAGGAGGAGTTGAGGATGCGTGTCAGCAACCGACGCTGATGGCGTCCGATGGCTGGCTGCAGCTCCCATGTCGGGCTGGAGGGCCAGGTCGCCGCAAGGAGCCAGTACAGAAGGGCCCCAGGCGATGGCGCCATGGCTTTGCTGCTCTGAGGCCGTCTCCTTGTGGTGCCCTACCGTCCATCTTCCTAAATTCAGAATCGTTAAGCTCTATCTACATGCCTGTAAGCCCTGATAAACTAAAGACCCTACATCCTGACCCCAAGCACTACAGTCCGAAGTTGGGGAACCACGCACAGCCACCAGGAACTAACATACTCCCTATTTAGGACTGCTTTTGGGGTAGGAGGGGAGAGCCAAAGCCCAAGGCATCTTAAATCCTGAGACAAATAAATCCTGAACTCTTAACCTTGTCCTCAAGCCCGCTAAGGACAAAGCTGTTCTTCAGGCGAGATTACTTCCTCTGCCACAGCTGCCTCCGTCGGAGGGTGCAGACCCTTGGTTCCTAGCGGATTTACCCTTACAAAAGGATTTAGAGGCTTACAGTCTTATATTATGCTACAGGTGTATGAGCGTTAAAAGTTAGAAGGCGCAGTACACTCTATACAACCTGTCAGCGAGCCAGGAGGGAGTATGAGCGTATGTCACCAGAAGGAATCACGTTTGCCTACATTGCAGCCAAGTTTTTCTGGGTTCATAGAGCTTGTGGTTAGGGTTGGCGGATTTCGAGTTTGGATTAGGTTCTGTGACAAGTAGGGTTCATTTTTTGGGTTGTGGGTGGTTGTTTTCGTTCTTGGCTGAGGAAAGCTTTTACCGAGACTCTGAGTGAGAGGCCGATACATTCTTCAAACTAATCCGAATGGTAAAAGCCAGCTCAGGCTTCACGCAGAATTGCACTGATTTTGCACATTCCTGTGCAGTTCTGTCAATCAAAAGTAAATCAAAAATCAACTAAACTCAGTCCGGCCTCGTCGGTAGATTCGTGGATGGTCCTGACTAAATTCCAGTCAGCACCTATTCCTGGGTCAAATCTCAATATACAGAGAATCGCACTCAATTAGCATGCCACCCATTTCCGGATGGCCCGTGATTTTAGAAAGTGAAGATCTCAACAGACAAAGTCAGAACTCTGCATAATTCCAGAAGCCTGGATCAAAACCCAAACTAAATGCTGTTCAGCCTTAAAAGGCGGGTCGGGCATTTGAAAGAGCTGGACTCCTGAAGGTTAGCAACAGTCCATGCCAGTCCCATGAAGCCTTACGGCTGCTTTCCAAGGGGTTCAAGCTGGAAGCTGTGAGACCTTGAGACTGGCGCCATCTCAGGACATCACAGAAGCCAACAATGAGCAATTCCTGGGTCTGAGCGCTGCTCCCCTGCCACTGCGTTGATTTCAGAAGGGATCAAAAAGCATACGCCTTGAACCCTATACACCCTGAAACATGAATCTGAGTCCATGTCCTCAAACTCAACGGGGCCTTGTACGGCAGGTCACGTGAAGCGCGGAAGTACTTCTGATAGGTGTTTCTATTTGGAAGGCGTCCGTCGTTTTCTACAGTGTGGTGCTGGTGCGGTTCTTGCTGGGCCAGAGGCTTGTTTCAGAAGGGAGCGTATAAAAGGCTCAAATGAGGTCATGCCATCTGCATGCTGCTGAACCCGCAGCTTTCGATCCAGTTCAGGGAGCAGGCCAATACGTATGCCCAAGACTTGGAGATTCTGTATGCAAGGTGGCCCTCACATCCCAAGAGATTCCCAAAACCAAAGGCCTCGACTTCATGAAAGCTGAACATAAGCTTCACACCATGACGGATCCGAAAATGTTTTGTGCGTGTATGCAATCAGATTCCTTGGAAGTATGGGTGAGCTCATTTTTGCTGTGTGTTATTGGATAGCCTGTGGCCTATATCACCTCACCAAGTTTGCACCCTCTTTTTTTCATGATGATCTGCCATGAACATCAACGAACCTAGGATGGCTTACTTGCACAAGGGCTCCGCTGTCGCTGGGACGAGTTTGTTGGCTCTTTAGGAACTAGATATGAAGGGCGGAAATACAATTTGCAAGCGTTTTGTTTTGCCCGTACATCCCCAATGGGATTCGGGGCGTAGGGTGGTGGCAATCTGGGAACTACAGATGCACCTCTCGTAAAATCTGCAACCCCACATCACAAACAATCGCGGCACTTTACCATGGTAACAGAGTAGGAAGCTGTGGGGGTTGACTCATGATTGATACCACGGTTATTGTTGTCATTAGCATTCCTGAGGGAAGGGGATGAAGTACCTTTATGGAGGCCCAGGCGCTGACCCAGGTTTTTGAGCCTGGTACATAGTACGAGAGGGTATGTTGTGGTTTGACTTTGTGGCCCCGAGCTGGCTGCTCATTCGAAGCAAAGGCACTGGTGCGACTTTTCTCGCTGAGGCCAGCTGGCTGCAAGCGTTTAGCGTTGCACGTTGAGTTGTTGGGATTTGAATGCACACCTTGGTTTTCGTGATTGAGGCTGTCAGCTGCACTGTTTTGAGGATTGGGTTGAGCGTGTGCTGTTGGCGTGAGCGTCTTCCTTGAGGTATCAATGGGCAGGAGAGTTCGCCGTGAAGAGTCTTGAATCACGAAGACTTAATATAAAGGATGCGGTGGTGCAGTGTCAGCATAGTCAGCGAGTTCTTTCTGAAGTGCCCAGTGTCTTGTATAAGAACAATAAGAGCTGCATGCAGCGCAAGGACTGCTTCCCGCGAATTCCCAAACAGCAACAGAACCTTTCGAAACAGGAGCCATGACGATGTCCACCTGCTTCGGCTAACAGACTCTTGGTTGCCTCATTTTGCAGCCCAAGGCAGTATAGCAAGCAATTAGGAAGAAGGGTCCCCGAGTTATGAGCATCGAGCCTTGCAATTCAATCAGGAGTATCAAGGATTTTTTAAAGTGGTTCTGCCAGTTTAGCACTTTCGGGAGCTTGAAGCATTGTTGTGCCGGTGTATATCATACTGCCAGTTGTGGACGCCCCGAATAGTGTTGATGGTGTTGAGAACTGCCATTTTGTCAGAGCAGAATCGTGACATCGTTTACGTTTCAAGCGTTTGATTCCGAGCCCAAAGTCAGGTTCAGGCCTTGCTTTTCATGAGAGGCTGGAGAGAAGAAGTCTACAGGACTTTTCGCGGAATCTTTGGAGATCGAACGTTCAACTCTAAGCCCGTGACGATTAAGTGTGTACAGCATTTGAGGGTGAGGTTTCCACAGTAAGGTAGAGGCCTGCATGATTTGCCAGATCATCCCTGACAATCACACAAGATCTTATATGCGTAGTAGAATGTCTCCCGCAGACCCCGCGCCCTGAACTAACTTCCAATAAGTGTCGGTCTTTCTCCCTGTGGCCTTGGCCTGCTCAGGAGCCGGCGCGGAGTCTGCAGGCCTGGGTGAGCCCTCACTGTAGGGTCCCAGACGCTTTCAAAAGGGTTTGGGCTTGAATGAAATTCTACATGTAAGGAGGCATAGGGCGGCATAGGGGTTTGTGGGGATTCCAAGTGTATAATGTATAATGGATTGCTGGGGCCTTCTCGTCTGGTATTCTCGACATGATCTTCTGTCAATGCGTGGAAATACACCCATGGTTCCACTTCAGACCCTCTCCCAGCTTCCCCACCCGTGCAACCTCATCTTCTGCCCGAAGCCTACAAACGAGCAATCCTGCATTCGCGCGGCGAGCATGATGTTCGAGCGGTAGCCTGCCTTCCAAGGTGTCACCCACCTCTACCCCAACACGTAACTCAAAGCAAAACTTCCTATGCATCCCGTCATCCTGTTTTTGCAGTCCACCATCATAGCTCAGACGGACTCATTTCTAGATCCCGCTGGCGGGCTGAGTATTTATGTTCACAACATTTCACATCGATGGAAGCAGGCACCGACTGAACCAGCTTTAATAATTTTTTTTTATCAACGCCTGACATCAACTCCTCAGCCCAAAGGCACTGCATAGGTAGCAACGCCATAAATAGAACCTGCTCTCAAATCCTAATAATCCATAAGCTCCATGCCGTCCCCGTCCTTTTGGGAGGCAGGAAGGCGTTTCTTAGCCGTGGGATTCGCGAAGCAGGCTTCATGGGGTTTACAGGGGCTTGTGCACAGGGTGGTTCCTGTTGCATCTGAGGTTTGTTGATTGGTGGTAACTCAGGGATCGTGCAGGAAAAGGGCTTCAACTGACTTGAGATTTTGTGTTCTCATTGCGGCATTGGCTGGTTTTGGGCTTGGAGTCCATGGCTCAATGTTTGGAGGTCACACTTGGGGCCTTAGGGCTGGAAAGCTAACCTAGGTTGTCGAGGGTCGGTTTGCAGGGCATGGAAACTGGCAGTTGCATATGTTGGTGCCTCAACTCCCGCAAGTCATGTACTTTTTGTGATTTGTGTTCTTGTCTGTGGCATGCAGCTCCAGGCCGAACTGATAGGATCTTGGATATCTCTCCTTGCTTTTTAGGGGTACTGAGCACTTCATCGTTTGGAGCAAATTTTTGCGAAGCATGAAGCGAAAACTCTACATCGGAAGCTACTGCAGATTATCCTGGCTTTGACAAGGCAAGAACAGGAATCTTTGATTTCTGATGCTTTATTACTGTAAATGTGACTCTGGTTGGATTTGTTTACTGTTGAAGCTTGCATGCAGGATGCCCGCAAAAGCAGGCATTGCTCGCCCCAGCATCTTAAAGGTTCTGGTGTTTCTAACACGTTGGATCCGCACAGAGGTTACGCAGCATTTATTGGATGATCCAACCCCCCTTCCCCCAACAACGTTTCATGCGGAATTCGTAGGGTTCTACTCAGTTACGACTATTGCTTGTGGTTTATGATTGTGGGTGGATGATGCAAAGTGATTATGCATGTAATCTGGAATCCGGATCCAAATAGATGGTCGGCAGTGTGGATGCTAGGTGGAGCTCTACGACGCACTACAGTTCCATGCCCTTTTCTCGGCTTCTGGTCTGCAGAAAGAGTGCTCTCGGCGTACTGCGAGTGCACGTGTTCTTGCACATTGAAAGGTCCAGCAGAAGAGCAGGATCTGGTAGGATTCTTGCAGCGGTGCTTACTGTAGTGACTGCTGCGAAGTGCGTCTTACCCGTGTTCAATCCTAGACTTTTGCAACTGCCTAT